CATGGAGACATGCTTGGAGACCCTCAGCTTCTTTAGCAAGCAGGTTTGGAGGTGTGTTTGAGGTTGTTACCATGTTGGAATACTGCCCTGCAGCCCAGTCTCCGAAGGGAGGGGATCATGCTCTGCTTTCAGTATGTCACAGGACATGTTGGCATTCATGGTTCCCTCAGTGAACTGTAGCTTCCCAGTGCCGGCAGCATTCATGCAGCCCCAGACCATGACACTCCCACCACCATGCTTGACTATAGGCACGACCCACTTGTCTTTGTACTCTTCACCTGGTTGCCACCACACACGCTTGACATCATCTGAACCAAATACAGTAAGTTTATCTTGGTCTTATCGGACCACGGGATGTGGTTCCAGAAATCCATGTCCTTAGTCTGCTTGTCTGCAGCAAACCATATGCGGGCTTTCTTGTGCATCATCTTTAGAAGAGGCTTTTTTTGGGGTGATGACGGCCCTGGAGACCAACTTTATGCAGTGTGTGGCATATGGTCTGAGCACTAACAGGCTGAACCCCCACCCCTTCTACCTCTGCAGCAATCCTGGCAGCACTCATATGTCAATTTCCCGAGGCCTGTTCTGAGTGGAACCTGTCCTGTTAAACTGCTGTATGGGCTTGGCCACCGTGCTGCAGCTCAGTTTCAAAGCTTTGGCAAGCTTCTTATAGCTAGGCCATCTTTATGTAGAACAGCAATTCATTTTTTTCAGATCCTCAGGTAGTTCATTAACATGAGGTGCCATGTGGAACTTCCAGGGACCAGTCTGAGAGAGTGAGAGCGATAACCCCTTCACAACTGCAACAAGTGACACTAATGGGTCTCATGACACCGTGAAAACGGCTACATGGGACTAATTTAGACATTGTCACTTTCGGGTGTACTCACTTTTGTTGCCAGCAGTCTAGACATTAATGGCTGTGTGGTGCGTTATTTTGAAGGGACAGCACATTTAGACTGTTGTACAAGCTGTCTACTCACTGCTTTACATTGTTGCCAAGTGTCATTGCTTCAGTGCTGTCACATGAAAAGATATACTGTACTAAAATATTTATGAAATGTGAGGGGGTGTACTCACTTCTGTGATATACTGTATGTTAAAGATATTTTTTATGTGAGTTGGGTAAAGTCACATCATTAATATGATGACTGAAATCCTCTTGTGCAATTTTAAGCCACACAAGTATGATGATATCACTATCTGGCAACAGGAAATATTTAACTTTATATTAACTGAAAGCTTCCTATCTCCCCCTCCCCCCTTTCAGGTTTTGATAACATGTAATGGGAGTAAATTACATTTTAAAAATAACTTTACTATCTCTGGGAGGATGGAGGTATCTAATGATATACACACTGTACTGATGCTTCCATCGCACTTTCACCAAGAACCTTAATCAAAGAACCTTAAGTAAACTTAGCAGTCAAGAGGTATGAGGATGGTTCCTTTTACTTTACAGATGAGAATCTGATTACAGGGGGGGGGGGAACAGAGAATAGGAAAAAGTGGACAGTTTTCACAGTGGAGAAAAGTAAACTGTGGTATCTCCCAGCAATGTGTACCAATCTGTGTATGTCTATCAACCAAATTTATAGCAGAATTAATCTGGGATGATGCAATCCAAAACAGTCCTGTGACAACATTTTTAAAAAGTTATTTTAAATTGGCTGCATGGGTAATAAAGCAGAAGATGAGAGTTTCTATAAATGGAAAATTATGTATGTTGGGACTTTCCCCCTTACATTGAAAAATGGGTTACAGCTTTTGTCTAAACTGACCATAGGTCACCAGGAAAGAGAATTTGTGGCGTCATTGCAAATAGCAAACTAAAATACTGAGCTCAGTGTGCAGTGACTGCTTTTTTTTAGGGAGGGAAAAGGATAGCAGGGGAGACATAAGAGAACTTTCTCAAAACAGGGCCGGACCCACACCTTTTACTGCCTGAAGTAAAGAACAAGGCTATGCCCTCTCCTGCATATAAAAGCCAACCAGAATAGAAACTAAGTTTTTCTCAACAATAATAAGAGAGCAACAGCCTGTATCAGGATGGAGGCCAGCTGGTTTGCTTTGGGGACAAAAAGAAAGTAACATGGTAACCAGCTCTCTCTTCCAAAACCTTGCTGCTGACAACTGACTCCCTCACTCTGCCTAATATGAGGCCTATATCAGACAATGAATTATGATGATGTTAGCATTATAAGAAGACAGTGGACATAGGCACCATTCATGAATCACCTATGTGACAGTTAGAAACAGCATGAACCAGAGAACTCTTCATTTGATCCACGCAGCGATTTCTGGGGTTCTTCACTAACGTTCCCAGACTGGCCTGTGGAGAGACTTTCTATATCAAGGACTTGGATATGACCGAAGACTACATGTCAGAGTCCAGATTAATACTGCAAGCAATATAAATTATGAAGGAGTTACTTGCTGTGGTGATTATGGTAACATGCTCTAGAACAATGAGATGAGTGGTATTTACAAAAAATGCCGGCATCCTCAGGAAGAGCTTTTATGCAATGTTGGTCTTTCCTTCCCTCACACAGGGGCGATATATGTGCTTCTCAGCTTTATTGGCTCTATCGTATGTATACTGTTTCCATGACAATTGTCATTGCAAATATTTTTCAATTTCCCCTTTTTGTTCTTCTCCTACCCAAGACTGCACATTACTACAGCTGTCTTGACTTTGAGTGCCGCAGCTCAAAATGATGTGGCGTTACAATCAAACCAATGACATGGGTTCTTCAGCTAATATCTTCTCCTTCCTGCATTTCTTTTCCTGTTTTTAAATTCTTTTCCCATTTTTCCCATTTAAAAATTCACATTCTACAAAGACTCAGATAACTGGATTCAAGCTAAAGCATACACATTGATTGGGTCAGGACACGGATTTTCAACATTTATGAGCAATGCTGGTGTTTCTCAGAAGTGTTTTACAAGATCTTCAAGATCTATGATAGTAGACACTGCTCCCCTTACTACTATTGTCCTTGCAATGCATAACCTTAAAGGAATTTGAAATGTGCTCAAGACTGTTACTTCAATGGGTCAATAGTCAGGTCTATGAGCTTAGCCAAAACCCCATATACAGAGTGCTCAATATAAAATGTTTGGATGATGGCTGCTACATCACCCTTCTTCTCTTCTCACTCCTCCCTTCTCATCACTCAGTTCCTCACTAAACTGTTTCCAGACCCTTTACTTTCTTTGTTTTCCTCTTCTGATTGCTGTTCAGCTCTTCAATACACTTCTCTGAGTTGGGGGAAATGGGCAACTGAGGCCAATTAGAGTTTGGTTATGAAGCTTATTGGGCTGGCTTTATCTTAAGCTAGTCACTAACTCTCAGCCTCACTTAAAAAAACAGCTCTGTGATAATTATATGGTATAGCCATTTACATTTATTATTTATTTATTTAAAGTACTGTATTTGTTTACCTGCCCTTTAGGGCTCACAAAGCAATCTACAGTAGACAGAATAACATGAAAAATTTATTTAAAATCAGATTTAAAACATTCTAGAAAAGTCATTTCTGAAACCAGAGACCTGATGCTGCTGGGAACAACCCTTTTAGCTATCTGTCAGAAGCTCATTAAAGATAAAGCCAGCCTGACTTCCATCAGAAGTGTGCTCTGTAATAAGAAAGGGACTTTCCTGTTAACACAAAAGAAAAAAAGGGAAAGAGGCTCTTATTTTCATTTTCACATTCTTTTATCACTCACTGAAAGAAAGGCTTGGAAAAGCAAACATTAGTGTTAGTGAAAGAGTGGTACATGAAAGTTTCACGTTCTTTTGTGTTTCCTTCCTTCATTTAACCCTTTTTTTCATCTTTCATATGCCAACTGTCCTAATATTTTGTCTCTGAATAGCCATTGTGATGTGATCTTTCTTTCACCCTTTGCATGTAATCTTTCTTTCACTCTTTGTATATCAACTTGCCTGATTATATTTTCATCTAATAGCATCACATGTGACCAAGAAGGGCTGTCAGCAGCCAATTAGAATGTCTGAGCAGGAGATGACAACTGAATTAGTAGAAGAGCTTGCAACTCAGTGAGGAGAACTCTCTATTTCCCCTTGATTATGTTTTCGATCTTTTCCTCTCAAATTTCTCTCTCTCTCTCTCTCTCACACACACACACACACACAAATAAGCGCCAGTCTGATATGGAAACTCTTTCCTAAACCTCCACGGCCATTAGCTGCTCTTTTATTTTACTGCTTTATTGGCTTCATTCAGAGGCGAATCCCATGGAAAGGTTTTTACTGGCAGAACATGCTGTTAATGTTTTATCTTACATTGCATTTCAGATATCCAAGCTACCTCTCACTCTTAGGGTGACATAACATTACAGGTACACCTGGGTGAAACTTTTTGTAGATGATCTCAACAGGGACCTAAAGTAGCTTATGCTCTAGAATATGAATTCTAATACTGGTCTGAACTGACCATTAGCAAGTTCATATGATGGTTGTTTTGAATTTGAACATGTACACACTAGAATGCTTTAATTTGGATGAAATCCAGGCCATTGTCACATCCGCTACCTATTCCTCTTTGTTTTTGTTGATTTAAAACCTGCAACCCATTAAGCCAGTCTCTCTTGGTTTGTTTACTTGACTAGCACTGTGGCTTTGCTGGGTGTTGCTACAGTTATCATAAGAATTATAATGCGAACAAATTCTTCACAAGTGTTCTTATTGGGCAAAAGTGAATGACTGCATGCCCCGTTCCTTTAAATTCTGGCACAGTTTTAATAAAAGTGGTGTTATCTCCCAGCAAAAGCAGCTTCTTTATGCAATGACCTTTGACATCAATGGGTTTATGCTGATCGGAGGAAAATCCTTGCTGCAAGTCTGGTCCGTCCGTAGCTCCCTCTGGTAAGTGAGTTGGAGATGGAAGATCAAGAGTAAAATCTCTCTCTCTCTGTCTTTCCCCCCTTTTCCTTATGCCACTTACTCCACTCCTTCTTGGGTTGCTGCCAGGGGCGTTTGCTGCTGTACTCTGTCAAGAACCGCCCTTACGAAAGGCTAAGAAGAAACTGTTGTCTCCCTGCGCTGCGCATGGGCTGGGTCCTCTTTTTTTTTCCTTTTTAATTCACAAGGTGAGTCAGAGTGTAGGGAAGCTCTTTTCTTCCTTTCTGTAGTGATTCAGGCAGAGGAAGTTATAAAAGCCACCTGAAACAAATAAAGAAGGCACAACCAAATCATCCACGGCTACAAATCCAAAAGAAAACCTTCCACCTCAGTGAAGACCTTTGATCTGGAAGAAAGTAAGATTGGAGCACCTTCCAAGGTGCATAGCCGTGAAATTCCAGGAATGCCTCAGCACTGGCTAGCCATCCTGGGCTGCCTTGCTATCTCTTTTCTTCTCCCTGCAGCTGCTGGTACCCGAAAAAGAGAAGGTAAGGCACACAAACTTAAAACCACCCCACTTCAGCTTTGGTGGAAGGATCTCTCTTAGAATCTTTTCATCCATGTTGGTTTTAATGAAGTGGCCTCTCCTCAGGCAGCTCTCTAAGCTGCTAAACAAATTCTCAGTGGGAGAGAGGAATTACTTGAGGGCTCTTTCTTTATGAGCGTGAGGGACTTTGTGGGTACTGGATAGAATTAGTTCCTTGCTGGCCAGCTTGCCACATGTGGATAACGTGGATGTCAGAACCACTTGTTTAATTCTCATAATCTCTGCTTTCTTCTGTCTGGAGCCATTTTCTCCTAAACTTGCTCCCTCTATTTCGAGCTAGATATGAATGGGGAAGCACACACTGTGGTTGCCTAGCAACCACAAGGGAACTTGCTGATTCTCTGTGCTACAGTGGATGGCTAGACTGATATGTGGTGGTGCTCAGAACAAGACCAGGGCTCAGTGAAATCATGAATATGTATGCCATGTTTATTTTAGTCCCAAATGACAAGTAAAGGGACATTGACCCCCATAACTAAGACATGATTTAAATTAGATTATTTTAATTCATAAAGTAAATGTGTAGTCATTTGGGATCTTTAAAAATAATGTTTTCAGATTTTCCAGATTATTTTTAAGATATCTTTTAGAACAATGCAACAATCTATGAGGGTATCACTTCTTATTAATTATTCTAGATTTCTGGTCTTGAAGCAGATAAAGAAATTCAGATTTCAAGGTTTACCTTGTGAGCATTATATTATCTCCATGATCTTATGGAAATGGTTGAGGATGCTCCATGATGGATTTGGTTAAAGCCTTTTGTATATTTCCACCATCATTGTTGTGATATAATTCTTCTAGGATTGAGTGGGCAAAATCTGGATTGTGTAGTTACACCAGTGTAAACTGGATCTGGGGGCTGTAAATTCTCAATTTAAGTGAATCGAAAGCTTCCAATTAATCCCCACCACCACCACTACTCTCTAGAGCTTCTTTTGCTCTGGGGAAGCCCTTGAGAGCCTCAGGATTGGGGAGGGGAAGACTTTAACAGTCAAAAAATCTTCTCTGGATCACTACCACCTGAATTAATACGGTCACCAAGGATCTGGTAGTATTCTTTTACTATTAAAGGCTCCCATTTCTGTTCTGAGACTTTCCTATCACGAGAAATACTGGGTCTTAGCCGAGTTGACCCCTGTTGCCTCTCAGAAAGGCTCCAATTGTACACGCACATGCGTGCAGAAACACAGACAGAGTGCTGTATGGAAAAACAAATGTCAGATAAACCCAGCTCCTGTTCACTTACTAATACAGTAATGATCTTATACACCTAATGGTGATCATGAAGTAGCTGAAATGGTACCAGTCATGTGCAAGATATATTTCACTGCTCTGTCTGCAGAGTTCAGTGAAAGGCCTGATGGTACTGATGAAGATGAAGTAGATTGTGTATATATACACATCCTGAGGGAGGCAGGATTCCTGGTAGAAAAGGAAATGTAGAATATGTGTTAGAGACATTTTTGGGGTCCAGAATATGGCTGAGCATAGATTGCCTATGTCCATTTTATGCAGGATGGAATAATGGATAACCTCAGTTTTCATGAGGTTAAGAGTTATGCTGTGATCATGTTAGCACATACATTGCACATAACTATGCACAGTTGCAAATATTTCATTATATTGTGAGGGTTTAGAAATTGGTACTTAATAGGGCTGCCATGTCTTAGGGCACTGGCTGAACTCCTAGAGAATTGCTGAGCTTCTCCAGGTCTTCAGGCAGGCAAATGCATCTCAGGATAAGCAGTGTTGAAGGAGGAGAAAAATTAAATTGTGGCTTTAAAGGCTGGGTAACAATTTTCACCCCTTCCCAGCATGAAGGTGTTTGTATGTATGGCATGGCTCCAAAAGGCATAGTTCCTATCAGCCCAATTCCTTCTTCTCTTCTTGATCCTGACTTTCTGGTTTTGATGGTCTGACTTTGAGTCCATCATGCTTTTTAGGCCATAGCAGAGGTGGAGCATCAGCACTACAACTCTTGAGCCTTTTTGCTGGAGAAGTGCTAGCAGCAGCAGCACAAATAGTCTCTTGAATTGTTCAGAATGTCAGGTATTGGAGAAGGGGCTTAATGGGAATGCATTTAGATGAAGAAAAATAAAGCAGTAAGCAGAATGTGAAGCTCTGAAATGTAGGTGGGAGAGGGAGGGGATTTGTTTACTTGTTTTAGTTTTAGTTATTCCTTTCCTTCAAGGAGCAGGCTAAAAACTGCCTCAGTGTGATTGTGAGCAGATTTTCAACTTATATACTGGCTGCAGAAATTTTTAAAAAATTGTAAGGCAGCCACCTGGCAATAATGATAATCACCTTCCCTGGAGACCTTGCATGGGAAGAAAATTAATAGGGATGTTCACACATGCCAGGAAAACCTGGGTTCAAATACCGAATTGGCATGGAAACTCTCTATAGGGGCTAACAATGATAAACTATTGGAATACCTCAATGCATCTCACATATCTCAAAAGGCTTAACAAATTTGGAAGTAGCATGGTGATACATAACCACAACTTAGGTGACCACTTGTATTCCATTTTGGAGAAAGAGTGATGGGATAGAGGGTCACACAAGGCTATTTCAGCTCCACATCTTGCATAAACACTTCAGCTTGTTTTATTTTGTTTTAACGTAGAATTTCAAGAGAAAATATACTTTTTGGAGGAAGTCCAAAGACTGATATGCATCTGCCTCTATCGCATGATGATCACCATCAATGTTGATATTAACCATTTGTATTTTCATAGCATACCAGACAGAATGCTTTTCAATGGAATCATCCCATAAATTCACTGCCACCTATCAAATACAGAGAAATGATGTACAGGGATGGGAAAACAGGCCCCTAGACCAGTGGTTCCCAACCTTGGGTCCCCAGCTGCTCTTGAGTAAAACTCCCAGAAATCCTGGCCAGAACAGCTAGCGGCAAAGGCTTCTGGGACTTTTAGTCCAAGAACGTCTGGGCATCCAAGACTAGGCCTTAGATCAAGCCTACACACAGCAAAGTTGATGGTGGGGAATCTGCTACACGTGTTTAGTTGCTGCTGATTTTCTCAAAATCACATTATGCCTTTGTTCAAAACTTTATTGATTGGAAGAGCTGTGGCAATATGAGCACAAATACAGTAGTGTAATATATACAACCCATGGAAAATAATTGAGGACCTGCACAGATTATAAATGCTAATATTTGTAAACAGGGTAGTTTTACTAAGTTTGACTGTATAATCCTTTGTGGTAGATGCACATTTCTCTTATTTTTGAAAGAGCTAGTTGAATGTTTCCAAAAACTTCAGCCCTGAGACAGTCACCGCAAACAATCATCATGGCTTCTTGTAATCCAAGAATAATTGGGACCTTCATTTGGGAACCATTTATTACTGGATCCACAGTGAGTATTATACTTGTATGGTGTAAGTCTGGGGGCCTCTAGAGGTTTTGAATGACAACCCCCATTATTCCCAACCAATATGGTGAATGGCTCAGATGACTGGGGATGATGGGAGTTGTACCCTGACTCACCATGGGGTGGGGCAGACTGTTTAAAGTAGTGATTTTCCACTTCCAGTCATGCCAGGTATGTCTGATTGACACACACTTCCTCCTCCTTCCTCTTCTATGTACAAGTTCACTATGAAAGCCCATCTCAGCATTGAAAAACTCATTCCAAAAAAACCTCAACAGGCAATAGCAGCAACACCGGGGAGCGGTGTGAAATTCTCTTTTAAAAAGAATGCAAATACAGACTTGCCTATCATGAAGTAATTGCCTTCGAAGATACTCCTGACAAAAACAAGATATTCTTAAAAGCCCACAGCAGAATCAAGGTGTGATTGCGTGACGTAATCATAAACTAGTTGAGCTATCAGCAATTAAAATTGCTATCCAGTGCTCATTAGGTATGTCACGTAATTAAGCAGTGATTCTTCCTTTCTTCTACCTTTCTTTTTAAGGTAAGGGAAATAAAGCAAGGAGTGTTAAGCTTGAGTTATAGCACTTCTGAGCGGATGGAGGGGGTTGCATGGCTGAGCATTCCTTCATGAAAGAAGAAAGGATAGCACCTCAGGTCCTTGTCTCCCAGGGAGGGCATGATGGCAAGGGCGATGCTTAGCTGGTCCCATCAACCCAAGGATGACCGACTGTAAAAAGCATGCTTTGCTTTTCCCTGCTAGGAAGTACCAATAGCAAACCTGTGATAAAGGGCAGAAAAAGACATCATAATTAAAGCAGAAAGTGCATTTGTTCATGGAGAACCATGACTCAGACAGTCTTTCATGTCTGAGAAATTAGGCTTCAAAGGGATCCCATGTCTAGGTCCTGAAGACCAATCTCAAAACAAAGAAAATTACATGAGGTGAGAAAAGTGCCTGCTGCAGACCCTTTCAGCAATCTTCTGGTCACAGGATTTATAATATTGATTTCTGCCCTAAATATTTTTTTCCTTTTCTTTCATCAAGCATTTTCTTCTTGTGCCATATTTCTTTTTGATTGTAAGTCTAAGGGTTGATTAATCTTTGTGAGTCCCTGAAAGTCTTTTTGAATCGAGTAACAGAGTTTTAAAAAATGTTTCCAATAGCGAGGAATGCCTACTACTAGATGTCTTGGGTGGGGAATCTCAGATGGAGAAATATTACTGTAAAGAGAAAAGTGGGGTTTTCTAGTTAATCCCTGAGAGGAGGAGGCTCGGAAATTGAAATCCCTATGTCCACTGCCTTTTTGTTTCAAATCTCCTCAGCCCTTTTTTCACTCCACCACAAGGTTTCAGAATCAACACGTTTTGCCTGGCAGAGATGCAAGTGAGAGAGGAATCCCAGCAGGAACTGCAGGGTGGAGAAAATATTTAATGTCCTCTGCACCTAACAGCTTCACCATTGAAAAACATTCCACTACCTCAATGCTATCTTCCTCCAATAAAACAGACTGTTTTGATTTAGTTACATCTCTTTGCATGTCATCCTCTTCCCGAATATTAACATGTTATCAGTCTTAAGACTTTAGATAGAGTCTGGAAGACCACCTTTGCACAGTGGCCTGGCACACATTTGTCCCTAACAGACTATAAGAAGCAGCAGGTGGTGAGAGAACAATGATACCCCTTTGAACGTCTGAAATGGGGCCCAGCCAAAACAGTTTGGGAGATGTCAGTGTTACAGAAAATGTATGACAAAGAGAATGAATGTGTAGTGTTCATAAACATATGGATATGTGTGAATGAATACCTTGGACAGTTCAAAAGAAAAAAGAACCTCCATGCATTACTGGTGGGTATTTTGAATGGTAATGTAAAGCATTACAATAATAGCAGGTTTCACTATAAAGTGGTATTTCTGTAGAAGCTGTAATTGGCAAGATCTGACAAGTCACTCAGTGCACTCTTGAAAGTCCACAGTGTGCTCCTGAGTAGACTCACTGAAGCTGCAGCTTTGAACCCCACCCTTTTGCCAAGGTGGTCATGCAGATTCCTTGACTGAGCTAGGATTTGAACCAATTCTTTGCTTCTGGTTCAGCCTTCTATTCACTTGTGACACCAGTGATAATGAACACCACATCTATGCGCTGAATGACAACAAACTTTTAACTGACTGTCAATATGACAGGGAGCAGGAGCTAACCCTGCCGCAATTATACCCGCTTTTATCGTTCAGAATAATTCTTCCATTTCTATAGCATTTTTAAATATTCAAAATGCTTCCTCTAAGTATTTCAGCACCCTGATTCATTTATTAAATGTTTCAGTGACAGAACTATAATGTGGAAATTGGGCTGAAATTTTAAGACAGGAGCAAACAACTTGTGTCCCTCCAGATGTCTTAGCAGTACAATTTCTAGCATCCTTAGCCAGATCAGCTAATGGTGAGGGATGGTGAGGTTTATGGTCTGACAATATCTGGAGGGCCACAGGTTGCCAACCTTGCTTTAAGCCAGGGGTGTCCAACCTTTCACCTTCCCTGGGCCACATTAGAAGATGAAAATTTGGTTTGCGCCGCATGGGGGGGGCAGCCCTACCCGTCCTCCGCAGCCCCGCTCCAAGTGTGCTTACCGGCAGCTGCAATCTCAGACAGCAGAGGCTGCCAGCTTCAACTCCGGCAGCATTATGGGGCCGGGAGGGGTCCACCTATTGATGGCGATGGCGCAATGCAGTCACACAGCCCCCCTCTCCCCTCCCCTCCCACTCGTTCCTTCCTTCCCTCTCCCCCCTCCCCGTTGTGACGTGCCCCAGCCGCAAGTGCCAGCAGTGTAACTTGAAACTTTGGAATTTCTTTAAAAATAAAAAATTGCATTGGGCCGCATTATGAGCTGAACTGGGCCACATGCGGCCCTCGGGCCGCAGGTTGGACAAGCCTGCTTTAAGCAATCACTCAGTTTTCATCCTTCTTCGCCTTGAAGCCTTCCCAGGGAGTTTGGAATCTTTTTTTAAAAGGTTGAAGGAAACACACAATTTTGAATGATGAGCTTATCTGAGCCTGAGCTGCTGAGGCAGCAGGATATGACCTACTTCTGTAGAAATGGAAGGGACCAGCACCCAAGAGAGTTTGAGCAAACAAAAGAGGCTGCTGACAGGCACGTGAGCGGAGGAACCGCCTTGGGCAGGCTGATAAAATCCCAGGTGCTGCTGCTGCTGTGGCTCCTGCTGCTGCTGCTGCTGCCCAGCGAATGTGGAGAGGAATGAGATCAGCTTGACTTGGCTTGGCAGCCTTGGCAGCCCTGAATACATCCAATGTAGAGCAAACTTTCTGGTGCTTGGAATGCAGGCGTCATGCCCGAACCTGATGGTATGTGTAGGCAAGCCAGCAGGGGTTTAGCTAAAGCAGCTGTTGGGTGCTCTGCGAGTTTGATCCTAAAAGCCTATTTGCTTCTAAAGCAGCAAAGTATTTGCTCAACAATGAACTGACCAAGCTACCCCCTTGGACATTTTAAAGCTCAGGATTTGAGACGAGAGAGACAGATTGAGTCTTTGCTACCCTCAAGGATGATGCTGAACATTGGAATCTTCTCAGCATTTGCTATAGGTGAAGCAGAGTTTCTTTGCCTTTGATCTGGGCTTGTTCGTATTATGCATATCTGCACTTCTAGGATAATTATTAAGATTATGCTAAGATAATGGGCATGTGTGTATATTCAAGCATTTGTGAGGGAGGAAAACCCACACAAATCCTACATTCAACACTAAAACCAAACCATATTATTACAGGTATGTGTGTAATGGGCCACCAAGTTACATTCTACTTATAACTACCCTAATAGGAATTTTGGTGTAAGTGAGATACTTAAGGTGTGGTTTTCCAAGTGCCATCCCCCCCACATGAATTTCCATGGCCACATGTTACAAACTCATAGGCTGGAAATTAGTGTTGCAGATAACCTGCAGTAAGCAAAAGGGCTCCAATCACACACCTGTTTTAATGCAGCAAAAACAGAGCTGCTGGCGGCCACCACCCTAGCAAGAACAGCACTGGCCACCAGCCAGAAGTCTCCCCGCACTGGCCACCCAGCAACATTGTTTTTGTCTGGTGGGAGGACAGCTTCAGCAGCTCTGATTTCACCCCACGTGGAGAAGATGAGGATTTTGCTCCCCTTCCTCTTTCACAGGGCTTGCTTGTCCATCCCTGGATGGCAGTATCTGGGGAGCACACATTGGGGCAGCCATCAAAAATTTCCCCGCTGTTGTCACAATGTTCCCCAGCTGCCACCATCCACAAGCTGCTCACAAGACTACAAAGCTCTGTAGAAGAGGAAGGGCTCTCTCACCCAGCTGAAGCCCTCTTGTGCTTTAAAACAGCATCCAATTCACACTGCTTTAAAGGGTGGTGGGCTTACTTCAAGTGAAGCAATGGAAGTCATGTCGTATTCAAAATGGTTCCAAACAAGTGTGTCGTTCTAGCCCTTGGCGGTCACTCTGTCCACTGTACCACACTAGGTATCTATTGATTCTGTGCCATCAAGTCAGAACCTATAGCGACCCTAATAGGGCTGGCAAGGTGTACAAGATCTTTAAGGAGTGGCTTTACCAGTTCCACACACCTCATGAGCTTCCATGATTGAGTGGGGATTCGAAGCCTGTTCTCCTGAGGCCTCATCAGCCACTCTATCCACTATATCACATTGGGTAGCCCTATCAATTCTATAGTTATCTACAATTCCATGACTATGCCTGAGCTTTATGGGTTTTTTTTTAAAGCCATGTCCTTAGTCCTCAATACTGGCTGGGGGGAGGGGGAAGGCTGTATTCATATAGATGCATTTGTCCACGTTCATCCAAAGTCCTGCTTTTCCTTGCTTTCTGTTGGATAAACTTCCCTGTACGTAAGGCCATGGAAGTTTTAATCCATTGTGGAAATAGCAGCTGGGCACAATTTACTGTCTGCCGGGACGTAAAAGAATGTGTCTCCTGGCTGAGCCTCCTGTGAGTTGCCACGATACTTTGTTAGCCAGATATTATCTGGATTCAGGGCCATTTCTCTGCATTCTCCTTATGCCTGTCTCTAAAACAATTGGCCCTGAATTGGTTCTGTTTATTTCCGACCCTTGCCTGTCCTGCTTCCGTGCCATCACAAAGACCCATCCAATGACATCAGAGGATTTTCTCCTGTGTCACTGGAAGGATCCACCCCTTAACATCAGATGTTGGTTTTGAAATCTCAGGGAAGGAGATGTGCCTGACTTAGTAGCCATAACACTAACAGATTTATGGCAAATAACCTCTCACGGTGAAATGTCCTTGCTCTGATTTTCAGCCTGTGATTGCAATGGGAAATCCAGGCAGTGCATATTCGACATTGAGTTACTCAGAAGAACAGGAAATGGATACCGGTGCCTCAACTGCATTGACAACACGGAGGGAAATAACTGTGAGCGATGCAAGGAAGGCTTCTATCGCCAGCGTCATCAAAATGGCTGTGTGGCTTGTGGCTGCAACCCTACAGGTATGTGGTGACTGATGAGATAAAAATGGCTTGAATCTTAGCCTGCTCAAGTTCGAAACGATCAGCTACAGTATCACAGCAGCAAGCAATTCTCTACAAAAGGACAAAAAACACCACAGCAGAAAAAAATGGCTTTTTGGAATGACAGGGGCCTCAGAAAAATTGGAAGCTGCAACACTGAGGTTCTAATTTGCTCAAAAATGCAACAAGTTTACGGCCCATATAGCCCCCTTAACCTATATACAACACAGCTTACAACCAGAATAAAAGTTGTCCCAAAATAATGCACACACTGAGACAAAAACCACGTGACTTTAGACCAACTTCAAAGCCCCTGATCCAGCTCCTGATTTATTTCAACAGTTTAGCTGCATCCTCAGGCAACATCAAAGGAGGGAAACAAAGAAGGCATGGAGACAGGGTGGGAATGGGGAACGAAGGAGGAAGAGAGATGGTGGGGAAATGGAAGAGATGTCAGTGTGGAAACTCAGTGTGAATTACTTTGAAGGAAAAGTGACTACAAGTATGGAATCTTGCAGTGAGTAAATACAAATCAGTGGGGGGAAGGGGACTACAGTTGCAACCCACCCCAATCCAAGCCATACAGCTGGTCTGGATGACCACCAATTTCCGAGGTGTAAGGCTGATGATGAAATTAGCTGGGGGAATTTCTGGAATGTAAGCATGTTCTCCTCATGTCCCAAGGCCCCCTATATGCGTATGTTATGCCTTTCATAATGGAAACCCATGGAGGCTGAAGAACAAAAGGAGGAAATGCTTATTATTATTTTTAATTGCCGTGGTTGATGACATCATTACTCTTATAATGCAAGGAAATTTCAGCAGTTTTCCTTAGTTAATTTTTTGTTGTTGTTGCTCCAGTACTTTGAAAGTTAATTTTAAATTTTAGTTGGATATAGTTGGAATTCCAGTGCCCAGAAAAATATTAACTGTTCTAATTAAAGTTTTTTTAAAGTATTTACTTTCTTGCTATTCAAAAAGAAAGTAGGTTGTCTTTTAGACAACGGGGGCCAAATAATAGCAGGTTGTGGCAACAAGCAGTACATCACCAGCATATGGGTTTGGCAGAGAAAGACCCAGGATGTCCTTTCTTGGCATGCTCCATATCCGCACATATACATACATATGTGTATCACTCTTAGGAGGAAACCCAAACACTTGGGGCTTATGGGCACATCCAAAGTTACAGTTTATGGCACATAATCGGGTCTATACTAGCAAGTATGGTTGGCATAAGGTTAGGGGCAATTTGATAATGTTGATTTTCTATTGCGTTATAACCAACATAATCAAATTGGTTATGTTTCTATAGTACATACTTTTCTGTGGCAGAGTACAACCCAAGGTTTGTGGAATGTAAGAAAATATAACTAGCACACATTTGACATATTTATTTATTTATTTATTTATTTATTTAACATTTATATGCCATCTTTCTACCAAAAAGTAGAACATAAGGTGGCCTACAAACTTCATACAAGAATAATAAAAGAAAGTAAACCCAAATTTAACTATAAAATCAAGCAAAGCCAACCCCATTGTTAAAGATTATTAAAATCAAACAAATGCATTTAAACTATTAAAATCAACAAACGGTTTAATTAAAAGAACAGGTTTGGTTTGCTTAGAATATGAGCAGGTATGTAGTTAACACAGGTAGAGTATTTGAGCCCCTCACTCTACTCTTAGGGGTGAGGAAGATGCACCCCACAGCATCCCTGGGTCACCCAGGATACTCCCCCCCTCAAAAGTAGGCACAGTGACAAATCGAACTTCCAATGTCTGGTTCTGCAACCTAACTCACTGGACATTCATATACAAGGAAGCAGTTTAAGCTTCGCAAGAATAATAGGCTAATAAAATACTTCCCTTCAATTGACCCGAAATCTGTCCAAATGTACAAAATGTATTACATTTCGAGCCTGCCTACCTTGTTTATGCCTGCTTCAGAATATATACAACATTTTCACCCATGGGGCATCTGCAGTGACCAGATTCCAAGGGCCTATTGCTCTACCAGTTGAAGTATACCAGACACTCTCTTCTTGAAGAAGCTAAGCAAGTCCAGACTGTGGTGGTACAATGGCACAATGGGATCACACTTGTTGCAGACACATTTTTAACAGCTTCTTTTTGGCATTTTTCACAGGGGAAGCCCAGTCATGTTGGCCAGCCAAGAGGGGAAGGAAGGAGGAAGAGAGATGGTGGGGAAATGGAAGAGATGTCAGTGAGGCTGTGAGATGGGAAAAAGAGATGCCTGAAATAACAGTTCTCTGGTTGCTTGGCTTATTCCCACCACGCCAATCATAGGGAGGCACCAGGCTTTCTCATAATTCAGTTCTGAAAATGTGGGAGCTGAAGGAAGCCTTGGTGTCATATAAAAAAGTAGAGGCTACTGATGTAATTTTTTTTAAAAAGGTGATGTGATGGAAAATAATGATGAAGTTCAGAGACACAGAGGTATGTGGTCTACTGTTTCCAGCTACACAGGTTCTTGCGGGGGGGGGGAGTAGCTGGCTTGCTCTTTTTTGCATGACACACAGTTGTGCACACTGGAACAAAGCAGTCCCCAACAGGGCTGGCTCTACTATTAGGCAGAGTGAGGCAGCATCCTCTGGTGGCAGATGCTTGTGAGGAGGAAGCAGCCATTTGGTTTGGGTTACTTTATTAAAATGAGAGGAGGGAATGTTCCTGTTTAGTAGATTAACACATAGTTCTGTGATTCATTGTGCCAGGGAGGTACAAAGATGCTCATTCTTGTGTTTGACTCTTCTTCTGTCTCCCACCTAGTCTCTTTGCTTCTTCTTCATGCTCTTACGAGTTGCTCATTATCTATGTGCATGTTCAGACTTGCACCTTGAGAGAAGGAGATTACTGTCTTTAACTTAGAATTGAGGAAAATAATGCTTGCTGCTGCTGATATTCCCCTCATCACCTTGATGTATGAGAATATGGAATCATAAAAATGCAGTGTACCAATAGTGTTATTATTATCACCACTGCTATTTATCTTAACCCATTTTGATGATGTAAAGACTCTAGGAAGAGTCAACTATATTTTCAGTGTTATTATTGAAAAAAGCTAGGGGTGAGGTGTGTGAGGGTTCAGTAGTCAGCTCCATTTCTTTTTCAAATAAAGCACCAACTTTCTTTGGTTTAGAAACGGGGGTAACATTTATTGGGGTGTTTAACAGTGGCCCAGTATCAACAAAAGCATTCCAAACCTTCTCCCCTTTCGACAATGGGTCTGATGGGGGGTTCCAATATTCCATTTTGAAAGGGTTCCTACCGTGACTGCTCCAGGGGCCCGGCCACTCCAGTGGGGTATCAGGGTTCAGTAATAGTCCCTCCTCTCCTTCCAGCAGGGGGATGGTGTCCACCTCTCGAACGTCCCCCCAGTCACACTCCCCAGGGGGTTCCCCTGTCTGCCACGAGACTCCAGAAATTCCCTCTGTTGATTCTCCCATATTCTCTGTTCTAACCTCTCCCTTCATTCTTTTTCCACTCTCTCTCTTTCCTCTATTAACTTCCTCCTCCATTCTTTAGTTTCTTGCTCCCCCCAGCAGGATGGTTTGGGGTTGAGTTCTCGCTTCCTCCAGGCATCTGCCTCTTCTTTGGGGACTCGTAGTTTTTCCGTCTTTCCAGTCCATGGATCTTCCATCCAGATCCACTCCCAGCCTACTGGCACCTCTCCTTCCCCCTTTTTTATATTCCCCAACCCCGCGTCTACTACTTCCTGCCTTTTTTCTCCTGCGCCTGCCAAGGTAGTCCCGGGTTCCATGATCTAAATTCTCCAGGTCATGTCCAGGAGGTCTTGTCTTCTGGCGTGAGGGAACTGGTGGGGTCTGGCTGTCTTTCTCAGCGGTTGGTGGGAGGGACAGCACTCCCGAAAGAGGGGTCTCTCTCTCTTTCTCCCTCCTTCTTACAAGGCGACACAGCCTTTATGCCTCTCCCTTGAATCTGGTGTTTAATTTTATTTTTTATTTTAACAGACAGAGAGATTTAGAAGCAGGAAATGGTTTTGTATTAATGCAAGTTTGCTGCTCCAACACACCTCAGCCCACCTCAGCTGTCTGTTTTAGCTGTCACCAAATTTTAAACATTTCATGATGTCTTTTTCCATTTAAACCAACCAGTCAAGGCAAAACTTTAGTTTTCTATGCTACAGAGGAACAAGGATTTAAATGTTTGCTAGATGTCTTAGGTGTTACTTGCATGTATGTGTTATTTCACCAAATTTGATATTTTGAAGTCTCTAGACGCTGGTATTCTGTTAATTTGCTCCTAGTGTTGTGTTGATATTCTGAACCTCTTCATAGCAAAAGACCAGGAAGTACACTGTTTTTCTGCAAGGAAAGTTCTGTATAATAAGAACCAAATGTTCTGGGGTTCCTTCAAGGGAAGTATGGATGTGATCCATCTAATACATCCCAATAAGGTGGAACCTTGTCCCTAATCCGTTGTCCTTGTGATGCTTGCAAAACACAGTACTGTACGTAACAAGAAGACTAAGGTATGCATTTTGTGGGTAAATGGGTACAATTGTGGTTTCAATGCTAGACATTAGATAGGAACACTGCACTTCAAATTCAAATCATTTGATGACACTGGATAAAATGCTGTTTCCCAGCTTGACCTGACTCACAGGATTATTGTAAGGACACAGTGAAAAACACTCCTGCATGTTGCTGTAAGATCCACAAGATTGGATATATGATTTTTTAACAATGCTCGCTTCAAGGAAGATATGAGCACAGGCCTCGTTGCTTGTATTCTCATCTTCCTTTGGAGCTACTTATGCAACTGTTTTACATTACTTCACAGAATTACTTCAGGACCACTGTTTCCTTCGTGACATTCTCATAGTTGAATTAAACTTATTCTCTAATCTGAATTTGGTGGCACACTTCACTCTGAAAGCCTTTAAAGGCAGTGGAAGTTACTCATCTTCTGGTGAGCCACTCCCTGTGTTTTAATGAGTCACTGATCTAGAGACCTATATCTTTACTGGAGATAGTAAGTGACAAAGAACCATAGAATCATAAAATGGTGGAACTGGAAGATAACTGCGCCCCACCAGGTTTTGAGACCCCAGCTGAAGCAGAAAAAAAATGGGCTAGAAGTAACATGATGGGACTCAATAGGACAATATATTTGAAGGGCAGACAGTTTTACCTATCTGTTTTGAGACAGCTTTCAAGAGAAAGGCAGCCTTATTAGTGTATGAGTCATGGAGGGCACGTTGTATAACGGAAGGAAGTCCCATCATGTAACACATACAAAATGTTTTAAGGAAAGGATGTAACTTGCCTGTGATAATGCTATGTTGAGGATATTCTGCTAGACAAAGCTGGAAGAGTGCTATAATAACTCTTCCCGATTTTCCATCAGATTATCTTCAACCTAAGGAGAATCCTCAATCATCATTTCCACAGCAACCCAAATAGGCCTTCCTGCTTATATCCAGCATTTCCAATTCACAGGTTCTACCAGTGTACAGTGTGATAACCATGGGCAGTGCCACTGCAAACCTGGAGTGACGGGCAACAAATGTGACAGATGCCAGGACAACTTCCATTCCTTTTCAGAGGCAGGCTGCACAGCTGCTGGGCAAAAACAGTAAGTGCCACCAGGTTGGTAGGACGGTTGTGCCTCTTTCCAGGATGCCAAAATTGTCTCATGGCTTGACTACACAGCAAGAAAAGTGCATATTCACTTGCAATTACATACTGTGAAGTCCCACCACAGGAATTAGTGTCTGTTCGCTTTAAACTTTAATCAAAGTGCTTGCAGTTCTACTCATAGCCCTGCAGGCGGCACTGTTCAAATAACTGCATGTATACAGTAGACTAGACAGCCTTTTTGTTTGTTAAGTGGTTTGAAAAATAAAAAAAATTAAATTAAAAAACAGCATCATTTCCCAGAAGAAGAAACTTTACCGAGAGAGAGAGAGAGAGAGAGAGGCTTTACTGGGCAGTGTGTGTGCTGGTACTGCCCCGTGTGTGTATGTGTGTGCGTGCGTGCGTGTGCGCTCGTAACCTCAATGAAGTAAGAGATGCTTTGAGTGTACACACGCACACCTTGTCCTCCCTTTCTCCCTCAATTCAAGTGATCTCTTTGAAAGGATTTGAAATTTTTAATAGTAGAAGGTTCCCTGGTGGATAGGAAAAGCTCCAGTTGGGCAGGGGGAGGGGGGAAACTCTGGACTGATTTGCATTTCCTGTTGCATAGTCTGATCAACAGGGAAAATATGAATCAGTCTGTCCCAAATCAGTAGTATTTTCTGCAGTATTTGGTAATGTGGTTGCCCCTCAGTCTTGCAGTTCATCTTGCACATAAAATGTCACACAGTCATTATTGAACTTCTGGAAAGATTGTAGGTTTGAAAATTTCCAGTTGACAAGAACGACCCTCGAAACCCTAAGAACAAAAAACAAAATAAAAAAACCCCTTCCTTGTACAAACCAGACTAGGTGTCAGGAGGAAGGGCTTTGCTTGACTTTGTTTTGTTTTTCATTTGGTTTGGTTTGGTTTTGGGGTCAATATTTTGTTTCCGTGAGGAGCACTCCGATCTGAAACCTTCCCACCCTCCATCTGCAGAGTGCAGTTGAGGAGTTGGCTCATGTAATCTGCTGGTAGTGGGATGGGGCTGGCTAGTGATGCTTGAAGACTCGGACCTTTATGAATTTGGATATGAAGTCCCCTGATCTGCCCTTGCTAGGCTAAAGAGCAGATCAGAACATAGTTTTTCTCTGGATTTTGTACCTCTCTGGATGTTGCCGTGCAGTTGTTGGCTCCAAAAAGAGAAAGGAATACATCTGCATCCCTGTCCTGTTTCTCTGCCCTTTCACTGAGGGATGAAGCATATAATGAAAACAGATGAGAGGCTGGTTATCATCACAAGTCCCTGTCCTGTTTCTCTGCCCTTTCACCGAGGGATGAAGCATAGAAACAGATGAGAGGCTGGTTATCATCACAATTAGAGGAAGATAAGATATTTCTAAAAGCATAGCCGTGTCTGTCTGTCTTGGCATGTTGATAAAATTAAAGAGGATGGGGGAGAAAATGCAGGAAGAAGCAAAGTAGAAAATGCTGTGGCAGTTTCAAGACTAAAAAAAATATATGAGGAAATGGATTTTGTATCCTGGAAGCTCTCAATGAAACAAATCTGTTGTTCTACAAGATGCCATATCACTTTGTCCTTTGCTTCCCTCTCTCTCTTTTGTTTTTGTTTTAATTTATCCTTCAAATATTCGTTGCTTCAAAGTATTCTTGTCTGAACACTTAACCTTTAAACGAATCCCATGGTTGTCTCCTGATAATCAAAACAAAAGCAAGCTACTTTGCATCTTGTTGATCTGTGGAAACATGGGGTAGGAAAAGCAAATGTTAAGGCAGCTCAGCTTCTAATTACAAAGCCGCACTGTCTGTGTGGAATCCTTTGCTAAGTGATCTTTATGGGAGCCCTGCTGTCTGAGTCCCCCAAACAGCCAGCTGGCTAAGTAGGAGAGCCTGGGAAATTAAAGGGCAGAAGAAAAAGCACCTCATGCAAATGCGTGGGGGGGGGACGTCCACAAAACGGTCTTCTTACATCGGGGCAAGATGCTAAGATGGGGGGGGGAGGGGAGGAGAAACAACCACCCTTGATTGCTTGTTTTATAAATCTCTCAAGAAAGATTCAGCTCATGAAAGAGGAATGCTGATCTTTGAGATGTGTCAGCATTTAAACCTTTCCTTGATAACACTGGACTCCGGCCTTCTTTTTCATAAAACGCTGCAATAAGCTAGCCTTCTGAACAGGTGCCTGTTCTTTCCTGTAGATATGTTCCTATACCAACCCTTTTTCTGTGTGTCTATTACTAATAGTTCACTCAAAGTTAGGGTGGCCATGTGTCCTCTCTTAGGAAAGTCAGTCCTCCATTTGAAAAACTATCAGAGGACTGCTGTCTTTTTGAAGGTGTTCTCCATTCAAAGGGCTCTCTGGCCAATGTCTGGATGAAAGAGAAAGAATTCCAGGGGAAAATCAGTGGCCTTGAAGTTGCACATCAGTACAAGCAGCCTGGAAACAGACTCAGCCAATAGACAGGTTACCTGGTTGCAGTCTTTCTCACTTATAAAAGCCATGCCTAATTACATATCTTTACACCTAAACATGTGCAACTTTACCTAAATCTTTTGTCCTCCTTTTGGTGGTGTGTAAATGCCCCCCCTTGTAGTCCAACAAAGAGGGGCAGAAAAATGCCACTTGATCCTTGTAGACATTCCAAAGACAAAGGCCGGTGATGGTGATACATTTATTAGACTACTGTACTTAAAAATCACAACCATAAACTAACTTTTGACTCTGCGTGATTCTTCTTCAAGCTGGGGATACATCTGGTCAGAGATTATGGAACATTTTTGTTTTTTCTGCAGTGGCCCCAGTTCTGATGAAGAATTGTATGGAGTTGAGAGCTAGCTTATGTTTGTAGGGTTGTTGTTGTTGTTGTTTTAGATGTCTAATAAAGATATCATCCAACCTATATGGTGGACTTGTAGAGTAGTGAAACAGTATTGGATAGCAGTACATACTCTGTTACAAAAATACTGCTTTGTAGTGTTCCATTAACCCCAGAATTGTTTTTACTGAGCATGATACCCGACAATATAGATAAAACAGAGAGCTACCTACTTATATATATAGTCACTGCAGCCTGAATTCTTTATGCTGAGAACTGGAAGAAATCGGAGATACCGAAACAAGAGGAACTTATTGAGAAGATATGAGAAGCGGCAGAAATGGATACTCTATCAGAAGTGCTGAAATATTGTCCAAAAGGCAACTGAACGATGGGATTTATTATACAAATGGCTTCAGTCCCCAGATAGTGCTTGAGTAACATAGATTTAAACTAAGATGTAACTTAAGTTGAAAGCTGGAGGGTATTCAAATTGTAGAAAGGCGGAGAGTCGACGATATCGCAACATGAATAGATTGGATGATTGTACATTTTGTGTTCTCCTAACCCCCCTTTCCCCCCATATCCCCTTTTGCCTTCTGTATTCCTTACCTTATTCTTAGTTGTCAAAATATAAATAAATATTTTTTTTTAAAAAAAGATATCAACCAACCTAGTCGTTGAAGGGAAAGCAAGGGGGATACAACTGGGTTGAGTCCCTATATCAGTCATGTTATATTAACTTCACATATACTGTATTGAACTGCTTATATGTTCCCATATTTAGTAGGGAACAAATTTGGAAAGAATCTCTCTCTCTTTTTTTTGCTCAGGATTTCCTGGTGTAATTGCAATCCAGCTGGAAGTACAGGGAAGTGCCATTCAGGACGCTGTGTCTGCAAGGCAGCAACTACAGGAGATCAGTGTCAAAGGTGAGTGCAGAAACTTGGTTTTATATAGCTAAAGATATGCTATCCTCAAAGGATCCACAGTGGATCAAATCATTGTTTTGTTTATCATTCAGAGCCACAGAAAATTATAGCATTTCTCTCTGATCCACCAGGCATCAAGGTTATGTGAATTATGTTCACTAGGCAAGGATGGAATCCAGAACATAGTACTGAGATTTTGGATGCTGAGAACTTCAATTTTCAGTGAGCAAGAATTCAGATTTCCACATATTTTGAATGCTGGGCTCGTAATGTCTGATTGGGCACAGCAGAATTCTAGGAATTGAGAACCATCAGGAATAACCCTCCTTAAAGGAGTTTCCACTAGGAGAAGGTGCCAACTTTACTCCCCAACTTCCACCACTCTGAATTATAGGCTGCGTGAAACCTGGAGGGTGCATGAGTGGGTAACTATTAGCAAGCTAGATTTCCTCCTATCCCCTTATTTTGGGACAGAAGTTCATTTGGCTGTGTTCCTTGAGACTTGCACACCAGACTGACCAGGTAGTACACCCAAATAATAAAAGTAACTAGCAGAGCTCCATGGCTAAGGCACTTTCTTAAGACAACTCACCCTTGTTTAACACAGGATTCATACTTGGGTAAAATAACAAAAATATTTATTTATAAAATATAAAACGTATAAAGCAACGAAAGATGTTAAATTGTACTGTTACAAGGCAAAGCACTCTTGGTCAGCATCTACAGTGTTTTTGTTGTTCTTTAGTCAATAAGTCGTGTCCAGCTCTTTCTGACCCCATGGACCAGAGCATGCCTCCCTGCGTTTGGTCAAATTCATGTTGGTAGCTTCGGTGACACTGTCCAACCATCTCATCCTCTGTCTTCTCTTCTCATGAGACGGCCAAAGTATTGAAGCTTCAGCTCCAGAATCTTCCAGTGAGCACTCAGGGTTGATTTCCTTCAGAATGGATACATCTGATCTTCTTGCAGTCCAGGGGACTCTCAAGAGCCTCCTCCAGCACCACAGTTCAAAAGTATCAATTCTGTGGTGGTCAGCCTTCTTTATGGTCTAGCTCTCACTTCCATACATCACTGCTGGAAAAACCATAGCTTTGACTATGCAGACCTTTGTCGACAAGGTGATGTCTCTGCTTTTTAAGATGCTGTCAAGGTTTGTCATCGCTTTCCTCCCAAGAAGCAGGCATCTTTTAATTTTTTGGCTGCTGTCACCATCTGCAGCGATCATGGAGCCCAAGAAAGTAAAATCTGTCCTTGCCTCCATATCTTCCCCTTCTGTTTGCGAGGAGGTGATGGGACCAGTGGCGATGATCTTAGTTTTTTTTTTATGTTGACCTTCAGACCATTTCTTGCGCTCTCCTCTTTCACCCTCATAAAGAGGTTCTTTAATTCCTCCTCACTTTCTGCCATCAGAGTGGTATCATCTACATATCTGAGGTTATTAATATTTCTTTTGGCAATCTTATTTCTGGTTTGGGATACCTGCAGTCCGGCCTTTTCCATGATGTATTCTGCATATAAGTTGAATAATCAGGGGGACAATATACAGCCTTGTCGTACCCCTTTCCCAATTTTGAACCAATCAGTTGTTCCATATCCAGTTCTAACTCTTGTTTCCTGTCCCACATAAAGATTTCTCAGGAGATATATAAGGTGGTCAGGCACTCCAATTTCTTTAAGGACTTGCCATAATTTGCTGTGGTCCACACAGTCAAAGGCTTTTGCGTAGTCAATGAAGCAGAAGTAGATGTTTTTCTGGAACTCTCTGGCTTTCTCCATAATCCAGCGCATGTTAGAAATTTGGTCTCTACGATTAGTTCCTCTGCCCCTTTTAAATCCAGCTTGTACTTCTGGGACTTCTCAGTCCACATACTGCTGAAGGCTACCTTGGAGAATTTTGAGCATAACCTTGCTAGCGTGTGAAATGAGTGCAATTGTATGG